AACTAAGGACCTCAGGGATTCAAGGAATTCCTCCCCCACAACAGGAATGCAAGGAAGTCTTCTTGGAGGATGTGGGGCTGGCTACAACTAGGCTCTAAGGGGAGAAGGTTGAATGGAGAAGAGCTCAATGATGTCACTGATGAATGGAGTCACTGATCCCAGTGGAACCCACTGGAATGTCACTGCTCCTGGGGCCTATTTTGGCCACGTGGAATATTGCCGGAGTGTTTCCTACACGTCAGGCACTGTGCTGAGCACTCAGATGCAAGAACAGAACGAAGTTCCCTGACCTCACAAAGCCTAGGGTCTAGAGGGGGAAGTTTGGAGCTCAGCCTTCCCCAGAACTTGGGAGTTGAGGGGCAGCCAGTTTATTTCCACACATTCAACGATCTTGGCTGGTTTTTCCACATATTATGGAAGATAAAGACATGGGTAGAACTCAGGCCTGGCCTGAAATAGACTCACAAGTCACAGTAACAGAAGACCAGGGAAGAAACTAACTGAGGGTCTGGAAGTTCAAACAAGGACATAGCACCCCAAAACAGAGAAGATGGGTGAATCAGGATTTAGTTCCACTGTAAGTGACATAAAAACCCAAAATAACTGATTTGAAAATGACAAACATTATTTCTGAAAGAAAGAAAAAGAGAGAGAGGAAAGGAAGGGAGGGAGGAAGAGCAAACAAACAAGAAAGAGACTATCCAGAAGCAGACCATTAGAGAATGGTAGGGTAGCTTACAAAGATGTCAGGGACCAGCTGCCTTCTGTCCTGTTGTCCAGCGTCCTCAGCACATGGCCTCCACCTCTGATGAAAGCTAGCTCAGCCGCCTTATCCACAGTTCTTACCCATAGTCCACATTATCCTCAACAAGGGTAAGGAATGGGCAACTAACGACATGCGTTTCCTCTTACCATTGGCCAGAATGCGGTCACATGGCCATAGCCATCCGTGCAGGAGCCTAAGAAATGAAGCCTTTGTGGCCATAAGCCCAACTAAAACTTCAGATTCTACTTCTCAGGAAGAAGACAATGGATTATTGAAAGATTAGCAGTCTACCACGGAGAGATCGGGGGAAGGCAGCATTTAAAGTGAGCCTTATAGGGGCATCTGGGTGGATCAGTCGATTAAGCATCCAACTCTTGATAATGGCTTAGGTCATGATCTCACAATCATGAGATTGGGATTCTCTCCCTTTCTCTCTGTGCCTCCCCTGCTTGTGCTCCCTCTCCCATTTTCTCTCTCTCTCTCTCTCTCTCTCTCAAAATAAACAAACTTTAAAAATAAAACGAGTCTTATAGGCAGGGTAGGATTTCCACAGCTGGCCATGAAGGTTGGCTCCGGAAGGGAACAGCTGGAGCGAAGGCATGGGATGTGTTTAGAAAGTGTTGTGTGGGCCAGCGGCTTATGTGTCTGGGAGAGAGGGGTGATCAAGGGTCACCCAGGTGATGTAGCCACATTTTATTCTGTGGCAGAGGGGAGCCACTGAGGATGCTTGAGCGGGGCACATGAGTGCCATGGAGAAGACAGCTATGCTTTAGAGAGCTCAAGTTGTAGGAAGCAGGTAGAGAATGAACTGCACGGGAAATGAAAGGTAGGTGCTCAATTAACAGCCACACCTAGTTCCACGGGAGCTTATAGCCTGGTTGAGGACACCAGCCCTTCCTTTAGGGACCGAGGAGTGACTCCTCTGGGAGGGGTGAGAACCACAACCCTACAAGTGACGACTCAGAGTACCAGGGGAGCTCAGCGGCAGAGCGCTCCTTGTGGACCCAGAGGGCTGTCCTGAGGCCGGGCTGAGACTTGAGGAACAGGTGGGATTTGGAGAGACAGAGGAAACTGGTGGGCAGAGACAGTCCTCCAACAGTCTAACTGCGGGCCGACCTGCTACCCTGAACTTGTCCCTCTGCTTCCGGCTACAAACACTGTCTACCCTCGTGGCTGTGGGATCAGTGATTCCGGCCAGAATGTGGTAATGGAAAGCAGAAGGAGCCATGTGGACTGAGGGCAGAGGTTGGATTCTCAGCCTCACTGCTTCCATCTGTGAGGCCCAATTCCAGGGCCTCTACCTACTCGTCTGGGCCTCAATCTGTGCCTCTTTCAAAGGGAATCAGTAATAGAGCCTCCAGAAGAATGCAGCCGTGGGCACAAGAGGGGAGCTCATTTATGTGCAAATGGAGAAGGGTGATGGGGCTGTGGGGCAGGCAGTTCCCACCCAGATCTGTGGGCCCAGGGCCACAATGGCTGTGGCCTGGGAACGTCAGGATGCAGCAGCTGCGGGAGGTGGTCTGAGGAGCACAGGTGGGAGGGCAGGATCCAGGCTGTCCTGTGCCCACAGTGTGTGCCGGAGGGCGCTTTGGGCAGGACTGTGCCCAGCTCTGCTCCTGTGCCAACAACGGGACCTGCAGCCCCATCGACGGCTCCTGCCAGTGCTTTCCTGGATGGATTGGCAAGGACTGCTCCCAGGGTAAGCGGCTGCCTCGTGGGACCACCCCCCACCAGGAGTCAGGCCCCCAAACACACCCCTTCCTTGCCCAGGACTGCTTTGTCCCTGGTGTCTCCACCCCCCGGGACTAAAATCTCCTGTGGACAGGAATGCCCACCTGAGTCCCATCCAGCTCCATAGCTAACATGACGAGTTATTAGGATTGACCACTGGCATTGTTAACTGTTGGTATTCAAGGTATTGACATTGTTGGGAGTACCATTGATACTGAGAATTAATGCTCCATGGGCACCTGAGCAAGGAGTAGCCCCTGCGTTTGGTTGGGGAAGAGAAGGGGGGCAGGGACTGGCATGCTGGGGTTTGAGAGTGGGGAAGTGACATGAGGCCAGAGCAGTCACTTCAGAGGGTGAGGGCATCCTGTGAGTGACCCATGTGAGTGATGTCCTGGGCACATAAGCCTGGACAAGGAATCGTAGAAGCTGTTCTTGTAAGGTGTACCCCAATCTGCTATGGAGGTAACAGGGACCACACACGGGTAAAGGCCTAACCTCTAGCCCTGTGGAGCTCCTTGTGTGATGGGTGAGCTGTGGCCAGTATCCTGAGGGTGGTCCCAGTTAGATGGCCTGGACCGAGGGAATTTCCATTCTGGTAGAGGAGACACAGTGCCATCCTCAGGGAACTCGTTACCCGAAAGAGGGGAGTCCCCACCCCGGGAAAGTCCCCATCATCACGGGGAAGTTAACACAGTGTTCACACTGTAAACTGCAGTGTTTAGTTTACCACACACACCCACACTCTCCAAATCACAGCTAGTCCCCCGAGAAGGGAAGTTCAGGAGCCCTCAGAGCTGGGCAGGTGAGTCAGGGGGTGAGTGGAGGAATTCTGGGAACAGTGTGTCAGGAAAGCCAGGAAATACGACCTGGGTATATCCTGGCATCTTGGCTGATGTGCAGTCCCCCTTCCTCTCCCTCCGGTTCTGCCTGCCTCTCTGTCTCCCCCTCTGCATCCCACCCATCCCCCAGCTTGCCCACCAGGTTTCTGGGGCCCCGCCTGCTTCCACACGTGTAGCTGCCACAATGGGGGGAGCTGTAGCGCCGAGGACGGGGCCTGCCGCTGCACCCCGGGCTGGACTGGACTCTTCTGCACGCAGCGTAAGTCCTGCCTCCCCGCCTCCCAGCTGTTCAGGGTCCCGTGCTACAGCCTGCTGGCTGCCTTGAGCATCGCCCGGGCCTGTGGAGTGAGGGAGGAGGCGGGACCCTGGGTCAGGAGCTGCCCCCTACTCACCTCCCCCCAGGATTGGGAAGCCTGCATGGATTCAGGGGGTTGATGAGCCCCAAGTCCTGGAAAGTCAGGGTTGTAAGGTACCCCAGCAGTCACCAAGACCCGACCCTCTGGACAATAGGGCCCAGAGAGGGAGGAACAACCTGTGGCTACACAGCAAAGGGACCCTAGCCTGGTCTCTGGTTCCACGGCACCTTTGTCTAAAGAACCCCTCACTGCCACACCTACCCCTACAGCCTGAGAGTCCAGAGTGTGCAGACAGCTGAGGTGCAGGGTCTCATAGGTCCCCACCCTGTTATCAGAGGCAGAGGACAGGTTTGGTCCCCAGCTGCACCTCCGCAGTTGCCCCCACCCTGTTTCTCCAGGATGCCCCGCAGCGTTTTACGGGAAAGACTGTGGGCGCGTGTGCCAGTGTCAGAATGGCGCCAGCTGTGACCACATCAGCGGCAAGTGCACCTGCCGCACAGGCTTCACCGGGCGACACTGCGAGCAGAGTAAGCCATCCCAACCCCTGACCCTGAGTGTTGGTGCGAGGCACCAGCCTCTTGCAGGGGAGCACCCCTGCCACCGCCCCTCAAAGTCCACTCATTCAGGGCTCTCCACCTCCTCTTCCCTGGATTATCAGAGCAACTCCCAAGAAAAAAGGCTGAAAGGTCATGCCTATATCGATGTGTTTGTAGAACTTCTTCCTCCAGTGGCGGGGGGAGGAATGGAAGATGCTAAGGGCAGAACAGAGGCCTGACAGGGTACCGAGGGAATACGGGAGGCATATCTTGTTTCATTCTTTGAAGCCTCTATGGCACCCAGCTCAGGGCCTGGCTTGTGAAAGAGGCTGCATAAACATGTCTCAAGTTAGGGGGAAGGAGTGGGTGTCCCCCAACTCTCAGGGCTAAGATGCTCTGTCCACCCCCAAGCATCAAACCAAACCACAGTGGGAGCTACAGGGAGATCGGTTTAACTCTGAGTCAGAACTGGGTAGTCATGGCTGGCTACCTATAGGAAGAGAGTGGGTGTGTCTGTCTATCCCATTTCTTCTTCGTGCTACACAGGATGTGCCCCAGGAACCTTTGGCTACGGGTGTCAGCAGCTTTGTGAGTGCATGAACAATGCCACCTGTGACCACGTCACCGGCACCTGTTACTGCAGCTCTGGATTCAAAGGAATACGGTGCGACCAAGGTAATAGGTGGCAGAGACCCTAGGCAGGGGGCTCCGGAAGGACCCCATGGAGACAGGATCTAGGGAGAGTCCAGTGGAACAACTGGATGTTAGAAGGACAGTTTGTGACTTCAGTTTATTCACTGTTGGAAGAGCAGGGGTGGGGTGGGTTGCAGAGGGGGAGGGATATGGAGTGGGAACCTCTCCATCATGGCTTCCCCATGCTATTCCGTGGCAAGTTTCCTGCGAGCCATACAAGGGCAACCACGAGCTAGTCCTGTGGAATGGCCACCAGACAAGCGAAGATATGCCAAGTTCTGCTTCTGCCATTACCTGCCGGGCATCCTGGACAGGTCATTCCATCTTACTGGGCTTCTTCCACATGCAAAGTAGGAAGGGTAGATTGTTCCTGGTCTTCCAACATAACACGAGGTTCTGTTGAGGGCTGGGGAGTCCAAAGGGGCTCCACCTTGGCTCCAGCCCTGTAGTCAGATGACACCCCACAGTACAGTGATGAGGACCAGGTCGAGATGATAGGAGTGGAGGACTCAGCACAGCGCCCGGCACAGCAGCAGGCGCTTGATAAATCACTCTGTATATATAAAAACCCTTTGTGATGTGCTGCACATAATATACTGTTGTCTGTGAGAGATGGGGAATGAGAGTGGGCTCTCAATTATCCACATAACAGAAAGGGGGCCAAAAGACATTTCTATTGCATTCTGATGGTCTATCACAGAGAATGATGATGCAGCACCTTATCTCCCCGAGGATGCTGACTGGCTCTATTCAACCAGTTGCTGATAGCCAGGGAAAAGTCTAGACTCTGCTGCCCCCACCGTGGGCTTAGCAGCAGTCTGGAGAGTTAGCCCATTCATGTATCATCAAGAGGGGTTTTGTGGGTGGTAATCGGGCACACTGGCACACTTTCATTGCCACTGTGGCGCTCACAGTTCCCGGGGGAGGGTGAGATTATTGTCCCCATGTTGCAAAATGGGCAAACTGAGGACTCAGAGTCACAAAGCTGGTACGCAGGGAGATGCAGTCGGTTCAATTCTTCCCAACTCCGGAGAAACTGGACTTTACCAATTACTGGTTATAGGATCTTGAGCGAGTTATCCAACCTTTTGGTGACTCTGTTTCTTCATCTTTGAAAGGGAAATAATTAGTCCTTGCTTCTATGGCTGCTGGGAAGATAAAATGAGTTCATATCTGTAACTCATTTTTAGAACAAAGTACTCAATAAACATTTATTTTATTTGCCATCCACGATCACATGCTCTTTGTCATGCCCTGGCACTCCATCCCCTGGAGACAGTTAAAGAAAACAGGCACAGTGAGGGACAGGCTCACACAGGGAACAAAGAATAGGGCCAAAGACCAGAAGCCAGGTCTCCTAACATTAGAAGAGTCTAGGCCCTAGGCCAAGATCTGAAGAGGAAGCAGGGCTCCCCCAGACTCGGTTCCTCCCTCCATCCGCAGCTGCCCTCATGATGGAGGAGCTGAATCCCTACACCAAGATCAGCCCGGCGCTGGGTGCAGAGCGGCACTCGGTGGGCGCGGTCACAGGCATCGTTCTCCTGTTGTTCCTCATTGTGGTGCTGCTGGGCCTGTTTGCCTGGCGCCGGCGGCGACAGAAAGAAAAAGGCCGTGACCTGGCTCCCCGTGTCTCCTACACGCCAGCCATGAGGATGACCAGCACAGACTACTCACTCTCAGGTAAAGGCTATGCCCCCAGCATCACCTGTCCCACCCCTGCTCACACACACACGCACACACACCCCAGGAAGAGCTGCATGGTATCCTTGGGGACACCCAGGTTGATTGCTGAAGGTGGGTGGTCGTGCTTGCAGGATCGCCTGAAGGGGCTGGATGGTGAGATGCTCCTGGAAACAGTGGGTGTGGGGAGCAAGAACCTAGTTAGGAAAAGTAGATGGGGTTTTATGGGAATGTCATTTCCTGAGTGCCCAGCTCGAAGCAGCTATGATTAGGAACTTCCTTCCATCTCCCCAGAGCTTCCCATCTTTCTCATCAGGCTATGGCCACAGTAACACCTGCACTAAACAGAAACTTTCTTAAACTCTCCAAGGGAACCCCTCTCGAGCCCACTGCCTGAGCCACCTCAAGAAACTGACCCTGGGACTATGTCCAAGCCTTGTTCCATTTTTGCTTCCTTGGTGAAGGCCTCAGAGCAACCCTCCCTCCCCGTTCCCAGAGTTAGAAGTGGAAGGGGATGGTGCCTGGCTTGCGGTAGGGGGAGAGTCTGAAAGTTTGGGCAGTGACCCAGTGGGTCCACAAATGTGGTAACCTCTCCACTGGGCATTCTATCTAGAGTCTGAATGGGGTGGAGGTGGGGCTGTTGGGCCAGATCCTCCCCGTCTCCTGAACCCTGGGCTGCTGCCTTAGAAATGAGGCTTTTTGCTTCATATTTAGTTAAGGGATAGAGGTCAAAATGCTCTGAAATTGCCCATAGCCCTGGGCCACAGGAGGCTGGGCCTGTCTCCGTGAGCACAAGGATGACCCTCCCTTCAGCTGCCTCCAAACTTAGGGCTGGCCTGCAGCCTCCTGCATCTTGGATTTAAAAAACCAAGATCACCTCAGCCCTTTCCTGCTAAGCATTACCCACCATGTGCCCACTCGATGCTAGATGCTGTGGGGGAGACAAGGGTGGCCCAGGTGCAGACCCCACCTTCAGAAAGCTCTTAGCCTGCATGCCTCCCTGGGTTTCAGCCAAAGCAAATATCCCCTGATGAGATCCCAAGCCCACAGCGGTGATGTGGGGATTTTCTTCTATGACTATCATGAGTCTGGCTGGTTTTCCCACACCACTCCACTGGAGTTCCCCAACACTGTGGAGGGGTGCTGGAATCCACAAGAGGGGCAGGGCTGGGGCTAAGAGGAGAGGGGTTCCCTTTATGGCCTCACTTCTGGGACGTAACTGGAGGGAGGCAGGGGAGGGTCAGTACAGCACTGTGTAGCAACAAAGGGACCTGTGACGCTGTGCAAGCCAGCACTCTTCATCCCTGCTCTAGCTGCTGGTGCCACCCTGCACACTGGCAAGCCCATCCTGCATCCTGCAGGGAGGGACACCATGAAGGAAGAGGCAAATCAGGCTCTACAGACTTCTGCGGGCAGAGTGGAAGCCAGAAAACTTGGGGGATGGGGACTTAGCAGTCTCTCTTTGCAGACCACTTTTGAGGCTGCCCAGCCCCCGTGTTAGTATTGGGGTGTCGGATGCCAGGGGCAGCAGTATGATGGTATGGCACCTTGTTCTCTTCCCAGATTTGTCTCAAAGTAGCAGCCATGCCCAGTGCTTTTCCAATTCCAGCTACCACGCACTGGCATGCGGGGGGCCTGCCACCAGCCAGGCCAGCACTCTGGACAGGAACAGCCCCACCAAGGTACCGGGCCCCTGACTCCCCAGACCCCACCCACTGTCCTCCCGATGAGCCCTCACCTCTCTCCAAGGAAGGAACTGCACCCCACCTGCAAGGTCCATGTGGAACCAACTGCCAGTACATTAAACACAGCCCTGTGATCCATGGGACACGTAAACACTCTGAAGCACAGGACAGGAAGCCAGCAGGTTACACGGAACCAACAAGTGCCATGGAACCAGCAGACATCACATGTAACCCACCTACAGCATCATTCAACAGGATGTATACCCCCACACCCATGCGTACGGAGCTGGCACCAACCCATGTGATCACCATGTAATCATGTGTAGTCTCCTTGTCACTTTTGTCATGTAAGACATGTAGTCAAAACACGACACGCTACACCACCTGCCACCGATCACTACAGTCCATTTCCGACACTGCGTGCAGCCAGCACCTTAGAGCCTAACCGCTGTTACTCGGGTACCCCTGATGTCCTTGTATCTGGCATACACGTTCTCACTACATCCCCACGACCATTTTTTGCAATCAGAACCAACACACGGGATGTGAAACCCAAACATCAGCCATGGCAAACGTTCCCATTGACAGTGCGTCCTACAGGCCTTCAAGGGCAGGCGTGCACCACCCTCGACAGGGCCCTCCCTTCACAGCTCCCAGCATAACCCTGGCTGATGGCAAGACCTCCTCCTACAGTCACAGGGCCTTGGGTAAGGATGTCTCAGCACACATGTGTACATGTGTAGGGAGCCCCCCTGGTGCGCCAGGACCCATACTGGGCAGAGGGGAAGGTTCGGAAATGGAGAAGAGGCTCGTGCTGCACCCCTCCTGACACCCACCTAACCATGTGCACACATGTGCGCACGCACACACACATACACAACTGCACATGAATACATACAATAGGACCATTAAGAAGGCAATGCCAGGCCTCCTGGCTTCCTGGACCATCTTTCGTGTGTGAGGAACATGGACAGAAGCGGTTTTCATATTCTAAGCCTCTGCCCTACAGCTCTGGGAATCCTTTCTCCCTGTCTGGCCCACAGAAAATGTTCACCAGTCCTCAGACCTGGTAGCAACACAGCTTGAACCGCTTAACAATAACACAGACGCTATTCAACCCCAATAGCCACCACTGTCAAGCCAGCACCAAGGCCACTTTCTTCCACAGGCTCTCAGCCTCCGTTTTCCTATGAAATGGGAGTGCTGTATGCAGCGTGCCTTGAGGCCCATTACCAAAGTCTGTAGCCATCAGCCCCATGGCTTTGGCCCTTCTTTCCCCTCCTCAGCTTGGACTCTTAATTCCTTGCTTCTGCTTTAGGCTTAACTGCAGAGGTGGAAGCTGAAGGAAAGGAATCCGGATTTTCTTAGTGCAAGGTCCTTGATTAACTAGAGCCACATCAAGGCTACAGCAAGTTAGAGGCAAAAATGATGCCAAAGCTGAGGCTTTCCCTTGCTCACACAAACAGGAGACTCACACACAGACAGGTAGCAGAGGTGACAGTCATGTCGCAATCTCAACACCTCCCTTTGTACTGAAAATGGCCTCGTTGTTGCATTTGAGACACTGCCAGAGCCTGTTCTCCTACAGCCCAGCCCCACCGACCTGCCCTTCTTCCCCTGTCAGAGCCAGCTAGGCTCTGGCCAGTTCTTGGCTCTGGGGTGACCCTGCCCTACTTTGTCCTAAGGGCCACAAACCCTACAACCTCAGCCAGACAGCTTAGAAGGGGGCAGCTTCTGCTCCCACTGGTCTTGGCCATGCCATGTTACATGTAGCTCTTCCTTACCCTCAACGATCTAAGACATAGGTGGGTGAGGATCATCAAAGGGGTGGGTGCACAAGGCTGGGCAAAGTGAAGGCTGGGCAGGGGCACCTTGGGAGCAAAGGGATTAACTTGCTCTCCTACTCTCCAAACAGCTCAGTAACAAGTCCCTTGACAGAGAAACAGCAGGCTGGACCCCCTACAGCTTTGTGAACGTGTTAGGTCAGTAGTGGTTTGAGTCTGGTCCCCTGCCATCATGCCCCCACCTGTTCTCCTTTTTCCACCTGGAAATGGGCCCTGTTCTAGCTCCAAGGGAGAAGGTTAAGTGAATCCTGAGATGGGTTCCCCAGGGAGAAGGGGTGGAGGAGGAAATCCACGCCTTTGTTTCAGCTCTCATAAGCAAAGGAAGCCCAGAATGCCCTTTATTTCTCTATCCGGGGAGGGTGGCTATGACCCAGGGACCACAGCGGAGACAGCTAGGGCCTGGATGTGGGACTTCCAGATGCAGGCAAAAGATGCACTCACCATCTGGGAAAGGGACCCTTGCCTGAGGCAGGCCTGACCAAGGTACTTCTTTTCAAGGGCTGCTTCCTCTGCCCCAGTGTCCTGGTGGGCGCCATTTCCTATAGGGGGATGGGAGTGGGGAAGGTAGATGGCCTCAACTCTAGCAGATCCCCCTGGCCCTAGCCCCTTTGGCTACTATACACAGGGGTCCTAATTCCTTCCAGCCTGTCCCACCCTGACCCTCACCCCCTCTGTACTCCCCACCCTGCCATACCAGGGCCCTGGGAATAATGGCTCCTCCCTGTCATTCCTCTCACTAGACTCCCATTTCCAGATCAGTGCCCTGGAGGCCAGGTACCCGCCCGAGGACTTCTACATTGAACTTAGACACCTCAGCCGCCCCGCTGAGCCACACTCACCAGGTTAGACCCCCCAGCCCTACCTTCTACCCCTGGGCCCCCCCGAGGCTCTCCGACCAGACCAGACCCAGCACCTGCCCTACCCATTCCTGCCCCTGAC